AAGCCAAACCAGTTCCACATTTAACGAGTCTCTCTCCACGTCACTGCACACACTCTCAGCAGGCTCAGGATTGGCTCTGGGGCTCACCCAACCTCTTGTTTTCACACTGCTCCTCAGATATCTCTAATGACTTTGGAGAGCAGGGAAACCACATTTAGTGGCAAAATAGAAAAACAAGTTACAAAAAAAGCCAACCCAAGGCTTCTTGCCTGAGGGGAACAAACCTACATGCTGTCCTGGAGGCTACCACAGAGCTCTTGGAGGGACTGTCTCCACGTTCCTACCACCAAACTGCCTCAGGTAACAGAGTAGAGAGGTGCTCAGAGTCTTGCAGTGTCATGTCAAGGCAGAGATCCATGAGGCCTTGGCCCTTCGGCCCAAATTTTCAAGGGCTTCCCCTTGGCCACAGTGCCCAGGGCTGGGTATGGAAACCCTGGACCACTTGGTAGCAGCGTAGGAGACAGGGCTACATCTCACTGGCTGCAGGCTCATCTTGCACAAGTCCAACCCTCCGAGTGCCTTTAAAGCTACAATCAAGTCAGGTGGAGTTTTAAAAACCTTATTTATCAGCTGATATTTTGGTAAGAAGCGAGGCTGGATGTCCACGAATGCCAGCATTAGTGTATCAACGTAAAGGGTTGCTGTTCCCTACAATGGAGAAGGTGGTTCCAAGCACAGCACCAAGAAACCCAGGTTTCCCCATAGGTCTCTCTCAAGGTTGAGCCTAAGGGATGAAATCATACTGCACCTTTTCTCCTCTATCTTGGCTTTGTGTTCAGAAAAATGCATGTGGCTGTTGTAGCTTTGAAGCCCATCAACCAAATACGGCCAAAACGGGCCAGAAGGTTCAGAAGTCCTTGGGGGAAATGAAGATGGGCACAAAGATAGAACAAACTGCACATTTCATACGGCTAAAAGCTCTTGCCTAACTTTGTATCTCAACTTCTAAAGAAAAAAAAAAACAAAACAAAACAATCCAAACTGCAGTAACTATGCAAACAATGCCAAAGAGATGGGAAATCTGTACGAATGGAAGAACAGGACACAGAGCAGGGATGGAAGGGGAACACACCTTTATTAAGCATCTCTATCAGAGGTAACAGGAAAAAATTAATGCATCAGAGGGAGACCTCTCATTACTCAGCTGGCCGGCATCCAACACGAACCCACAATAACCACAACTGGCTTTCAAACACAGTAAAAAGACACACAAAACGTTCGCTATTGGACAAGCGGAAAGCCGAAGAGCTGTTCCACACCCAACGATAGCACTCGACTGTCGTAACGTCCCTGATGGGGTCTGATGAGCTGATGCTCTAATTCATCACCACCGTCAAGTTACAACCATAAAGTGAAAGGAAAATGAGGGAGCTGAAGAGAGGAACCCCCTTATCCTCATGCCTTGTGTGCCCACGTGCTTGCAACGCGACGGGCTCCTGCCTGCCGTTCTCTAAATCTCCCTCGATGCTGAAGTTTGCACTTGCAGAGGAAATTCAACACACAGGATATATAATTCGCCGGACAGACAGAGAGGCCTAGAGAAAGGAGCTCTAATCCATCGAGGACGTTCCCTCGCTAGAGGCCAGAGTGAAATTCTTCGAGTGCTGGAGACAGATTTTCCTTGGCGGGCAGCCACGAGTGTCGATCTGGCTTCTAGGAGAGATCAGCATGGCTGTGGATTGCAGTGACTTCACAGTCAAACACAAAACCTTCCTCTTCAACTAACTTTCTTACAATAAACCCACGAAAATGAAAAGCTAAAACATTTCCAGCTGGCCAGAAGCTGCTGAGAGAAGAGTGAACTTATTGCACGTGCAGGCTTGGGGCTGATCTGAAAGCTCCTGCAGATCTTCGGGGGTATTTGGACAGAAGCACCTAAGTCACTTTTGAAAGAAAGATGCAGAAGGCTAAATTATTTAGGCGCCTTTCATATTTTAGCAAGGTTATTTATGGAACTAAATTTATTTCACATTTCTAACAGATAGCACTAGGTGTGTAAGAGCAGTTTAAACTTTAAGGGGAAAAAGTAACTATTGCTTCCTTGTAAAGCCTTAAATATTTGAGTATCGTGGTCGGACCCTTGTTACAAAAAGAAGCATTTGAGATGCGACTTGGTTTACTTTATCACTTCATTAAAGGTATTTAGGGTTGTCCCAGGATGGACCCCTTTTTAAATTACTGTCTGCTCAGAATAGCAGTTTTGACTCTCTGGGCTTGACTCTTTTCCTCTCTACTATACGGTGATGGAATTGCTCCCAGTTTCCTTGAGCACAAGGGGAAAAGGCCTCCAGTGTACAGAGGGATCTTCCACTTGAGTTTGCTGCCCTGAACAAGGACAAACACTGATGCTCTTAGACAATGACATTTTTATAGGGTTTATTTTCCACTACAAGGATCTGTATTCAAGACACAAACCAAATCACTACGCTTTTCTACCATTTTATATTATATTGCACTAAGAATTAATTTCGGCCATTCCCTTAAATTTAATCATCCCACATTACTTTGAAAATTTTCCCTCATCTACAATTGCTCTGTAACAGCTAGTACTGAAACATATTGGGAAAAGAGAGGGAAATCTCTTTAATTTCCCTACTTATTTGGTGCATTTTTGGCCCAGTCATTTTTCCTTCCTACATAACCAAGCTAGATCGCTTCCGCCTGCTCGTGCAAAGCCTCACTAACTGACAGGACAGCTCCAAGAGAAGTATAAACCTACCTGAAATATAAACCTGAAATTACTTTTAACATTTTGAGAAACCTGTCTGGATTTCAGGTTGGAAACACCCTTTCACTGGCTACGCCAGCATTCCTTCCCGGGTGAAGGAAAACAGCCAGAAACATAAACACTCTCAGGTGGCATCTTTTACCCCGTTCGTAGCTTTAAGTCAATATTGTGTTAACATTTAGCGGCTTGAAAGAGAAAGAATGCAATGTCCCAACAGGACAAATTAAAAACAAGTTGAAGAACAAATCAAAGACCTCTGTTTGCTGTACAGCCACCCCCCACTCCCAGGCCCTGCAGCTGGAGCTGAAGCCCAACAAGAAGCACCACGGTGGTGGAAGCACTGGAGCTGCGATGGCCCCCGAGCAGCCACCAGAGCTTCACACTATCTCATTTGGATGTTATTGATAATCTCAATAAGTCAGTGACAAGTGGATTCTTGGAGCGAGGAGATGTTGTCTATGATCTGTAAGATACTTGGCATCGACATCCCTGTTATCCAGGAGATCTAGGGCTGCCTGTCCTCATTGGAAACTCAACAGGCCAGAGCATCTCCCCTTTCTCCTTGTAATATTCACAAAGGCTGTTATTTTTAAATGCAAGAAAAAAATTTGGGACTACCTTCCAAAACAAAGAAGAAAACGCCGTGTACGGAGACGACCATTTGACAGAGGAGGAAGAATTGCAGAGGGCTACTGTTCAGCTTTCTCCTCACCCCAGCTGAATTCGTTTGACTGCGTTTTACACTTCTGAACTGTACAAACATTTCACTGCTAATGCACTGGCTCAGAGCAGCTGAACTTCACCGAGCATTTTTCAGGCATTTCATTCTTCAAACAGCCACAGCTTTCCTCTTCAAAATCCCTGCATTCACGTCTTCGTGCTTGGAAAAGGACCAAAGCCTCCACATTTCCTTATACCCAGGAGGTTGCGAGCACGTTGTGTGCTGCAGTCAATAAAGTGCCAAGAAGCTAATGAAGATAAAAATCTCAACGCACAGCGGTGACAGCACACACCTTGCCCGTGTAGCTATTTTGACCATTTTGCAAACAAACTTGGCAATTACTGGCAAGCCCAAGTCTTCAACGCGAGCGTGCAGCATCTCAATGTTATTAAACTTCTTGCTGCTCCGCAAGAAGTGTCATGGGATGACAGATTGCTCCCTGCACATCAATTGGATTCAGAGAAGTTCTCAAACCCTTACGGGTTAAAAGCGGCTCCAGCATGAATCAGAGTCCCAGTGGTAAGGAGATCATCGATACAAGGGATTATGCAGATTGAAGAAATACCCTCAGCACCCGAAAGTTTTCAGAATGCAAACTACGTCAACCCTGAAAACAAGAGGCACTGCATCATGATGGCAGGAGGGACAAAGCCAGGGGGGTTTAACAGACAAAAAAAGATTGTTTTAATAGGAGAGAAGCATCAGTCATTGAGTCTTACTTCATTCAGACTTTCTATCCTACCCATCCATCTTCAGTGCCAAGAGATGACAGGACCACCTCACTTTTCCCCCCCAGCCTACTATATCAATAATGCCCATTTCTACCCCAAACAAATGACTCGCTAGAATGGCCCTTTTCCCTAAACTGGCTTGCCAAGACCCACAAATGCCTCAGTACCTGCTATGGTCAACTTGGCTCTAACAGGGCCCCCTCGAGAGGTGGGCACCGATGGGTGGAGCCTTCCCCAATCATCTTCCCCAACAGCCACTTTGTCATTCATGGCTGGGGACCATCTGCGCAAGAGGGGACCGGGGAGGGGGGGAACAAGCCGAGGCAAAGACGGACACAAACGGGCGCACACACAGGCGTACCCTCCCCACACAAGCCCGAATGCAAATTCCTTCGCCCTCGCAAAACGCCTCTGTGGGCATTATCTGCGAACAAAAGTCCTCGAGGCGGGCGGTCTCTGCATCACTGCTCTCTCTGTTAGCACCACCTGCTTGGCGTCAGCCGGGAGAGTCGCCGAGTTATCTTTTTGCCGCGTCTGCAGAAGCCAACGGGAGCACAATGGCCCCCATCGGCCAGGGTCAGGCATGGCTTTCTTTCTCGCCCCCGTACCACCAGCCCTTTTCACCTCCACCATCTCCAGGAGCCCCGAGCGCTCAATAAGGAGGTGGCTTCGAGCGCAGGGAGGAGGAGGAGGGGGGAAATATAGGTCTCTGGCGTAAATCGCCGACGCCGTTTCCCCTCCTCTCCCTTTCCTTAAGACCTGATGGTCTTCAGTCACACATCTTAAAAGAAAAACAAAAAACAAAAACACAAAGACTTACTTGTCTCAAGTCGATGAAGGCCAACTGCAGCGTGTCCCCTTGGAACCCAGGCACTGGGCCGGATCTGGCAAACTCTGTGGGAAAGAAAAGAGGATAAAAAGCGCCTTTAACTAACCATGGACAGGGAGATTGGCAGACGGATGACAGGGAAGACAAGAGAGGCTGGGGGAGAGGAGGACCGCGCTTCTAAGGAGTCATGTCTCCCTCCCTTCAGCGTCTTTGTTCGCCCTTCAAAATTCGTGTCATCAAAACACCATTAATTCCACCATCCTGACAGCAAGGAAACTGTACTAATTCGACCTGAAATTTATTCCCATGAGCCGTACTGGGCTTCAGAGTATTTGTTTTGTGAATGGACAAACAACTCGCCGAGAAGAAAGGGGGGGATGGGGGTGGAAAAGTTTTTCCTCTCAACACAATAAAATCTTCAGCTGTGAAACTCTTTTCAGTTCCGAAAGCTATTTATATTTTAGGGCGCTGAAGGAATTTTCTAATTTCACGCCTGTCACCAGGCTCCATAAGCATTCATCAAAAAAATATGCCCAGCCGCATCATTAATTATTCGGCAGCAGATTATTTGCATTATCTGCTATGGCGTGCTATTGCCAGTGTACAGTCACCCCAAATGGGAAGAGTCGTGGCCGTTACGTGGCATATTTATTTATGTTGGATGAAGACATCTGACAACTGAATAACACTGGCTTCTAAAGTGAAGAGAATATTTCCAAGGCCACATTTACCTCCTCTTCCAGTGTAATTTGGCCAAAATTTCATACTTAAGTCATTTATTTTTCTTCCAATCCATCATTTAAACCAAGTGTAAAACCACGGAGGGGGACTTGAACGAATCCACGTTAGAGGACCTTAGCTCCTCCAAGGCATTTCACAGCTTTTACTTGGTAGCACTCACGAAGCCAACAACTGCACACATTCAAGTGTGTCTTTTGAAGAAACACCCAAGGTTGATTTTGCCCAACTTCACTTAATTTTCACTCTCTTTAGCTACACAATTAACAGCTTTATCTCTGCTTTCCGTGCAACTTTCCATCACCGAGGGGACCTAATTTGTGAAGCCACAACTCAACATCACGAAAGACTCAAGAGGAAGCTTCTGCCTTTGGCTGAATTTTGTCGCTCCTGCAGACACTGAAGATGCTGCACGTTGGAACGAAATGTTTTCTTGAGATGCAACCGAGTGTGATGGCAGAAAGGAAGAGAGAGGGAAAATATACACCAACATACAGATTTTTAAGTTATATACGGCTTATTATCACCCGACTGTTCTGGTTTTTACCATACAGGAACCCTCAAAAGAGCTCCTGCAGCTCCACAAAGCTGAGGACTAAGGATGGCTCGGCAGTAAGGAAGGAGGATTTTGCCTTCTGCCTCCATGAGCGCACAGAGGTGCTAAAGGACAAAGCCCGTCCTGTCCTTCAATACTAGGCACAGTCATCTCATGACATCTTGAATGCTTCTCCTTCCAAAAGTTATCTCATTTTCAAGCAAACGCCACAAAAGAAGGGAAACAAATCATCACAGGCCTATTTTTAAGGATTTCCTATAGCAGCCCAGTCAGACGAGCTCTCCCCATGGCCCCACGGAGAACAGACTTAAGAGTTAGACATCAGGATTCAGCCCCGCTCCTCAATTGCCTTATTTTTGGAAACCAAAGAAGGGTTATTTGTCAGCTTTCTTGCTCCGTCTTCAATTAAAATCTTGGGATAGAGAACATCCTTCAATATAGACACAGGTACCTCCAGGGGCACAGCGGCCAGTTGTCAGACACCCACAGCTTCTCTTTTTAATATTTTCAGATGCCAGAAAAATTCCAAGATTGAAACGATCACTCATCTTTGCAGTGATCAGTCAAGCGACAAGCGCTGCAGGACAATAGCAAACATGGCCATAAAACCATTACTTTTATCCAACGTTACTACTAGAAAGGAATTACAAAAAAGAGAAAGTATGTACGTGACTGCTCACATTTAGATTTTGGATAGGAGAAGGATAAATTAAAGCCAGGAGAAACCATCTGTGGTTGTGCCGATGGACTTTATCACTTTTGCACACGACGGGACTGCACAGAGACAAGAGCTACTCAGCCTCCAGCCCGTTTCGCTGACCAATGCTGCAATACTCAGGCTGCAAATAGTCCAAAGACAGTTTATATTTAACCGTCAAAAAACTGTTTTAATTAATTCTAACTATAAAGGCATTTTAATGTACGTCTGCTATAAAATTCGACTGTGGCTTGCCTGTGCCAGCACACACACGCAAGGGAGGACTAACACAAGCTCTCTGACTCTGATCTGCAAGGGATAAATCATCTTTACACATTCGCTCTACACCCCACTGTCTCATCTGGAAAAATTATCCCAAAAGCCACATCAATCCTAAAACACCCCCACTTTGGAAAAGCACGTACCTGAGAAGCTAAAAATATTTAGACGCAAGAAACAGCGTTCGAGAGGTGAAACTGCCCTGGGCTGCTCAGTGTGTTGAGGTACGAACAGACTGGCTGAACTAAGGATGGGGTCACCTCGTGTTACTGATTCTATCTGGAGAAACGCTGGAAAACAGAAAGCCTGGAAGGACTGCAATGAAAGAAAAATTCTATTTTGGATTTAAGGGCTTTGCAGCTGCTAGGAAGCTATTTAGAAGCACACATGGAGTTGTGAAATGTAAGATCTTCCCGAAAGCATGGATTTCAAATCCTCATGAGAAAATGCCTGTGACAGGGTCTTGAATGTTTTCACAAGCCTCGTGAATTTATCACTACTGTCATCTGCTCATGAGCAACCCAAGAATGATTTCATCCCAAGACATGGCTGCTCGTCAGCAGCTCACCTTTAGCTGCCTCTTACTACGGAAGCGTAAGGGAAAAGGCCTGGACATCGGGAAAAAAATTTTCCCAGCAAGAGTGGTCCGAGAGTGGAACAGGCTGCCCAGGGAGGGGCGAGTCCCCATCCCTGGGGGGGTTTCAGGGCCGTTGGGATGAGCTGTGGGGGATGTGGGGTAGGGGAGAACTTTGCAGAGTCGGGCTGAGGATTGGACTCGGTGATCCCGAGGGGCTTTTCCAACCTGAGTGATTCTGGGATTCTGAAGGCAGGGGGAGTTATGGGGTGCCACTGCCCCTTAACACCACACGTTACAACGACAGGAGCGCACTGCACCAACATTTGCTTGAACAGTAATTCTCATCCAAAGAGCGGATCAGAGTCTCTACCGCATTAACAGTGCCCTTGACATCCAAGAACTGAAATGACGTACGAGATCATATTATTGGTATTACAGAAGAAATGAGATCAAGAATCCAACTCAGACACTAGAAGAAAGCTGCTACAGCTGTAAGGAGCCCGAAGAGGAACAAATGCAATGCTTCACCCCACGGTTCTTAATGAAAATAGCTGTACCTCCTGTAATCGTAGGTCACATTTTACATACCAATGCCACAAACTTATTTTGAAGGAGGAATGAACAAAGTCTTAAAGAAAAAAAGAAACAAAGAAGAGAACAGGGCTTTTAGAGGAAAGACACAGCCAGTTCTTCTTGGGTTTAATCTCTTCAACCAGATTTCAGGATAATTTTCTCGGAACAACCAAGCACAGTGTTGGCCTCAGTACTGTCGGATTCATTTATTGTACTGTCTTCACCACCAAGGCAAGTGGCAAACATAGCAAGCCACCTACAGTACAGCCCCTTGAGCAGAAAATCACAAGAGAATAGAGCAGATCAGTATGCGGCTGTTTGTACAAAGCATTTAGCCAGGCTAAAGGTTTGAGAGACTTGTGTTCAGGCCAAAAAAGTAATGTCTTTGCAAGGTCTACAGGCTTGGGCCACCCAGGGCAGGTCACAGGGGGACTCTAACCTCTCTTCCAAAACATTTCACCGATGAAAGAATCAAGGAACAGGAACCGTTAAGCCCTTTACAATGAACAAAGAGTAAAGAGTTCAAACGCACACCAGAAAAAGAGACATCCACTGTAAATTAATTATACAGAATGGGGGAATCTCTTTTTGTACACTGTACCCGGCTCCACGCACAGGGACAGAGTCTTACCCATATTGTGAGGTTAAAATGAACGCAGCCGGCGACTTCATTCCTCAGAAACATACTTTTGAGGACATGATTTTCTCTGAATTACACGACACCACCAGAATTCACGGCAGCAGACCTGCGGGATCGAGGTTACAGCCGCTCCTGTTCAGGGGAACCTGGACAATCTACTTGTGGCTGCATCAGTCGTGAACAAGATTTTGGATTTGGGGAAACAACCATCTCAGTATTCCTTGATGAAGAATGTAGGTCTAAAAGTCATCTTCCTTAGACGAACCCTTGGAAGATTATCTCAGAAAAGCCAAGCAACAGGACCTCTTGCACCTTGCCCAGAGGCACAAAATGACACCTTGAGGATCCTCAAGCTGAAGAACAAACCTCTGCGTGGAATCTGGGGAAGCTTGCACAGGAAAAAAGGTGAGAAATGATGGGTAGGAATTGTGGCAAGAGGAACAGAGAGAAGATCCCGATTTCCATATTGAGCTTATGCTTCACCCACACCATTCCCACACAACCCTGCTTTGAAGCTGTTTCCCATTACAGGCCAAATTATCAAAGCTCATTCCCATCTGGGGAATTCCAGAGAGCTGCGGGGAGAGGGAGGAGTTATCCGAAGTACACTGAACTGGGTCAGATTAAGTAAGAATTTCTACCTCTCTCCGTCATTTGTTCCTCTGATGGAACAAAGATGAGCCTGGAGTCCTGTTACTGCAGTGAAACAAGAGGTCCCAGGGGCCGTGATGGTCCACTGATGGCTGAGGAGCAGCCACAGTCCCAGAGAGGAACTCTGATGGACCACCCGGCGTTTACAAGTAGAAGAAGCTCTTGAGAAGAAATTGTACAAGGCATGTGCCAAGAAATTTGGTCCCTGCCAATCCATAGGACAGGTTTACAGAATCAAGTTACAGATCTACGCCAGTTCCCAAACCCTTACCTCAAGATGTATGGTGGACGTCTCTTAGTCGATGTGAAGTTCTCAGCTCTATCAAAATACTAACAGTAGGAAATGTGAAATGT